TAATTACAGGTAGGTTACAGGTAAATTTTTACAGGTAGATCCATGTGCTAAAGTAAACTGTGGAAAGTATGGTCAATGTAGAGTTTCATGGAATTCTGAAAATAAATATTTCTGCTATTGTAATGTGACCCATTACGGTGATCATTGCCAATATCGTTTTGATCAAAATAATCCAACAGATAATGGTATGTGCGATATTTGTTCCTAAATCTTATTCATTATCTTATATATATGTATATAGGTTAAAATTAATAATTAATCTTTAACTAATTAATTGGGAAATGAAGAATGATTGTTTTCTGAATGTTTTTAAATCTATATTAAAATTCAGCATCTAATTACTCATCTAATAATTGAATGTTTTTTAAATCTATATTAAAATTCAGCATCTAATTACTCATCTAATAATTGAATCGAAATTTAAATTTAATGTAAAAAAAATATCAACAGAACCAGATAAATCTTTATGATAGTAATAGCTGCTTATAATAGTAATTATTATTGCATTCTGGTTCCTAAAATAAAACCATATTTATAAGTGTAATGTAAGCATTATTTGTAGAAAGATTAATAAGCATATGTATTGTTATACCTGGATATACCTGTATACTAATTACATCTTTAAAGTTTAAAATTCGAATGTATTAGATGGTATATTAGTTAGATATCATCCAATTACAGCTCATTTTCAACGTTCATTTCAACCAGGAAGTTGCAAATTATCAAATTCGGAATATATGCCAGCCGGATTTAGCTGGACTACAGTTGATTGTCGACATTGTATATGTCAACAGGTCAACTTTTAGATATGATCATTCCTGTTTTTCTTCATTCTTTGTTTGTTTTTTTTTTCGTAAATTCATATAAAATATTTTGAAAATATTTTCGAATTTTAATCTTTCCAAAATATTTTTAGGGTGGTATTATTTGTTCGGAGAAGAGATGTGAATCACGTGATTGCTCACATAATGATCCAAATTTCGAAAATTCACTTATATGTCCAAAAGATCAGGCATGTTTCCAACATGAATCTATTATTATTTATTATTAATTATTGCTAAAAAGAAAGAGATGATTTATTGATAATTAAAATTTATTAATTATTAGCAGTTAGGATTTGTGCTGCAGCGTACGTTTACGCTGCAGTATGAATCCTACCGCTGGAAGAGTATATAAGGAGTAGTAACAGTGAGAATATTACGTATATTGCAGTGTCATTTTTTGCGTATTGCAAATTTTTTCGATATAATAATTTTTTTAACCTTTAGCATTGCGTTATTGTCACGGAAGATGAATGCCTTAAAGGGAAATGTGAATATCCACGTGGACGATGTCTTTCTTGGCTACAAATAAATAGTGAGATAGCGCGGCGCACTTGTCGTGAACGTTTGAATGCTGATAATAAAAATACACAAGGATGCGGACGAATGTTTCTCGAATTTGATATTAATAATTTGTTACCGGTAATTTCAGGTGTTATGCAAAATTTTTAGTTGTATTTTTTTCAACATAATTTTAAAATTCTAAAAGATACTGTAAAAAGAAAACTTTGTTAATGATGTCAACTGTCGTTCTAGCTAAAAAAAAAAAAGAAAAAATTAAGCTTCATAGCTAACAAAAGTTTTTTTTTCCTTCTTAACTAATGAAAAAACATTTTTTTGTTTTAATTTTTCGATTTTTATTTCATATCCTTTGTATTTTTTCATTTGTATTTGATAAGAAATTTAAATGAAAAAAAAAAACAAATCGAAAAAAATTTTGATTAATAATTTTGAAATCATTATTCTTTTCCTTTTTTTTTTTTTTTTGATTTCAAATTTTTGCAGGGGACAACATCAGGTGACGTTTGTTTTCATCTTCTGCTCGATATTAATACCGCAAATATCACACACATTGGATTTGATTGCAAATTAATATTGGCTAATATAGTACAAGTAGATATTGTAAGTTTATTTTTTTCAAGTAGATACTGTAAGTTGTTTTTTTTTTAAATTTAAATTAAAATCACCTATATCATGTATCATACATCATCGCATTAATTATCTTATTAATTATAAATTATTTCCAATCGTTTAGACTCTATACCGTATTTGATGAACAGATCAGGTTAACCAGGTAGCTTATCAATTATTGTATAATTAAGTACCTGATGAAGTAATTGGTGAAAAATTTCGCATATAAACATGATGATAATTTGAAAAATTTTTTGATCCTATAAAATATATTTAAGAATTAATCAAAAATTCAATTCAAATATTTCATTTCGAATTCTTAAAAATATTTTTAACTTATTCATTTTTTTTAATAATTATTTATACCTAGATCTCATTACAATTTCTAACGGACGTTATGATGATAAAGGATTTCCTAAAAAATCGTATTCATAATCGTTTAACAACCAGTCCAATACTTGCTGCAATTGTTCAAATCATTGATAATGATAATCATGATGATAGCAGTGAACATCCTATGTTAAATACTATTTTAACACTTCGAAATTCTGGTTTGTATTCAAATCATTTATTGTGTAAAATTATAAAATATTCAAAATTTCATCTTAAAACTAGATTGAAAAACAAAATTTTAAATATTTAACAAGATTTATTTGAAACTTCCCATCATGACTGTACTTTACTTTACTTTACTTTACTTCTCACTATCCCTATAAGTTCCCCATCTCATGACTGTAGGTTTACTTTACTTTACTTTACTTTACTTCTCATTATCCCTATAAGTTTTT